TGCTGGGAATCGAACCTGGGTTGACTGCATGCAAGGCAAACACACAACCTGCTGTGCTATCACTTCAGCCCCCCCCTGTGTAGGATTTATACATTTTTTACCCTTAGAGTTCTCACCCACTCACTATATGCAAAGATACCTGTACTTAACATTTTTGTGCACATTTCCAACTTTTTTCCTAAGGATAAACTTGTTTGAGGCAGAACTGGAACAAGTCAAATGGCATGTGAATTTAATTTAATTGAATTTTTTCCTAAGGATAAACTTGTTTGAGGCAGAACTGGAACAAGTCAAATGGCATGTGAATTTAATCGCCTATCTTCGAAAACTCTTGAGCTAATTCGCCAGCGTGGTTTGGCGCATGCCTCAGGTAACCGCAAGCTAACGTCCAAGCTCGCAAAGCAGTGCAGAGATGCGATCAAGGAAGACTTCAAAGAGAGAAGAGCAGAAGTACTGGTAGATGCGGCAGAAGCCGGGAAAAGTATTCGTAACGCCCGCCTGTCCTTCGCCAACTACAAGACCAAGATGACTGCCCTCCGACGTCCTGATGGATCCATCACATCCTCCAGAACGGCAATGGAGAAGATTATCCATGACTTCTACTCAAATCTCTTCGATAACCATGTCCACTTGCCGACATACCAAATTCCACAGGATGGATATGTCGTTCCCAATGTTCTCCCTTCTGAAATCCTACACGCCATTTCGTCGGTAAAGAAACAAACAGCACCCGGCCCAGACAAGGTCAGACCTGAACACCTGAAGAACCTGCCATCAGTACTCATCAATACACTGGCTCGGCTCTTCACTCGCTACCTGTCTGAATGCAAGGTTCCGTCCCAATGGAAAACCAGCAGGACCGTACTACTGTTCAAGAAGGGAGACATCCATGACATTGGCAACTATCGCCCGATCTGCCTATTGTCTGTCATCTACAAGTTGTTCACTCGAGTCATCCTAAATAGGATTGGCAGAACACTAGATGAAGGACAACCATGCGAGCAAGCCGGGTTCCGCAAAGGATTCAGCACCATCGACCATATCCACACAATAACCAAGCTCATTGAGGTTTCTCGGGAGTTCAAGATGCCGCTCTGTTTAACGTTCATTGATTTAAAGAAGGCCTTTGATTCTGTTGAGACGGAAGCGGTCATTGAAGCCCTAACCAATCAGGGCATTCAAGCCCAATACATCAGGATCCTCCGTGAGCTGTATTGTGGATTCACTACCAGGATCTCACCATTCTACAAAGAAGTGATCGTTGATGTCAAGAGAGGGGTGCGGCAGGGTGATACCATTTCACTGAAACTCTTCAGTGCCACCCTCTAGAACATCATGCGAAGACTGGAATGGGAAGGAATGGGAGTGAAGATAGATGGTCGGCAACTACACCACCTCCGCTTTGCTGATGACATTGTTCTAATAACACCAAACATCAGCCAAGCGGCACAAATGCTGGCCGACTTTGACCGTGAGTGTGGAAAGGCAGGACTACAGCTGAATCTTACAAAGACAATGTTCATGAGAAACAGCCTCGTTCCTGATGCCCCATTCGCTCTCAACGGAACGACCATCTCCGAATGCAACAGCTATGTGTACCTAGGTCGAGAAGTCAACATGACAAATGACCTGGTACCTGAGCTGCGCAGGAGGAAGAGAGCGGCTTGGAATGCCTTCAAGAACGTCGAAGAAATAGCTAAGAGGACGAAGAACCTCCGGCTCCAGGCACATCTCTTTGATTCCACTGTTCTTCCTGCATTAACATATGCCTCAGAGACCTGGGGCCTACGCAAACAAGATGAGAACGCTATTCAGGTCTCCCAAAGAAGAATAGAAAGAGCTATGCTTGGAATATCACGTTTCACTCAAATGAGAGAAAGAATCCGGAGTTCTGACATCTGTCGACGATCAAGAATCAGGGACGCTGTCTCGTTTGACAAGGTGTCAAAAATCAGATGGGCTGGTCACGTAATGAGATTTAAAGACGAACGCTGGACTAGAGCTGTTACTGACTGGATTCCATGGGATGTCAAAAGACCGCGTGGCCGCCCACCTACCAGATGGTCAGACTTCTTCGTGAAGATCATGAACGATCGGTTTGAGGCTCTTCATGTTCCCAGAGCGAACAGATGCCATTGGGCTACACTAGCACGCGACAGGGACAAATGGAGACGTTACTGGCGCCCGCTCAAGCAACTCGATGACTAACGGGAAGTTAAGTGATTATTTAGTTTTGTTTTTTGGCCATACCCAGCAGTGTTCAGCACTTATTCCTGGCTCTGTGCTCAGGAATCACTACTGGTGGGGCTCAGGGTACCATATGAAGTTCTAGGATCAAATGCAAGCACTTGCATGCAAGGCAAGTAATTACTTACTGTACTGTCACCTGCCCCGTTTCTACTTAAGTGAAGTTCTCTCCCACAAGTCATACCAGCTCCTAGGGTGTCAGCTGCCCCATTTGGTTTGAAAGCTCCAAGTGTGTTTTAAAAAATGAGCATTTGTTTCTGGACTTATGCTAAATTCACCAACATTTCCAAATTCACTACCACCCACTATCATCCCATTGGTCATCAAATTACTCGAGCGGGCGTCAGTAATGTCTTTATTCCTCCCAGCCCTGAGATTTTTAGCAGCCTCTTCTTAATAGTCTTTTCCCAATGATTGGAGGCTCTTTCAGGGTCAGGGGAATGAGACCTATTGTCGTTACTGTATTTGGCATATCAAATATGCCACGGTGAGCTTGCCAGGCTCTGCCCATGTGGGCAGGATACTCTTGATAGCTTGCCGGGCTCTCCAAGAGGCATAAATGGGTAGGAAGTGTCTTATTGTGCCACGCGGTCCGGAAAGCGGCCTGGAACGTGGCAGTGGTTGGGCAGTGGAGGTCGGCTGCCGGGGCTGGGTCCCTTGGGGTAGGGAGGGCTCTCACCCACCCCACAGCCTGGTGCAGAGTCCAAATTTCACAGCGGTAGGGCGTTTGCCTTGCACGCAGCCAACATGGCCGACCCGAGTTCGATTCCTCTACCCCTCTCGGAGAGCCCGGCAAGCTACCGAGAGTATCTCGCCCGCACAGCAGAGCCTGGCAAACTCCCCGTGACGTATTCGATATGCCAAACACAGTAACAATAAGTCTCACGATGGAGACGTTACTGGGCCCGCTCGAGCAAATCGATGAACAACGGGAGGACTGTGACTGTGAAGATGTGGAAAAAGAGCTCAGTTTCTTCCGTTTCTTCCATTGTGCCTATCAAGTCAGGGTTTCTCTACTGCTTCCTTTTGGGAATGTACCACTGTGATCCTGCCATTTTGGTGAGAGACTTGAAAGCCATCTTCAGTGCAAAAATATGAGAATTTATTCACTGTACTATCTCTCTGGTCCAGCAAGTGCCTTCAAAAATAATCATTTTATTTTAAAATAGAGGTTGGAAAGATAGTACAAGGATTAAGGCACTTACATGCAGACAATTTCGGTTGATCTCTGGCATCACACATGGTACCCTCTGCACTGCCAGGAGTGATCCCTGAGAACAGCTGGGTGTGACCCCCCAAAAACAAACCAACAAAAGTATTAGGTTGACAGAAAAACTAGAAAGTTACTATAGACAATTCCTATACACCTCACATTTTATATAGCCCACTGTTCTCTATTAATATCTCACACTAGTATAGTGTAACTGGTCTTCTAAGTAACTGGTTTACACTTTACCAATATTTATTTAGTTTTTTCCTATTGTCCCCATTCTGCCTCGAGATGCCACATTACATTTGGCTATGCCTCCTTAGACTTCTTTTGGTTATACTAATTTTCAGGCTTACCTTGCCTTCTCTGGCCTTGACAATTTTGAGGAATAGTGCCAGGCAATCTGTTGCATACCCCCTAGCTGGGGTTTGTTTTTCCCTCTTTTGATCAGACTAAGGTTATGGATTTTGAAAGGAGAGTCCCATGCAGATAAAATTCCACTCTCATCCTTGTGTACCTAGTTCATGTATACCAAGAATATTTTTTTGGGGTTTGTTTTGTTTATATCCCTCACCCAGTGGCTCTTCCTGTGACCCCTGGCTGTGCTAGGGGGACCATATGCGGCGCTGGGGTTTGAACTGGGGTAAACAGCATACCAAATTAGCACTGTAACTCCCATGCTGTCTCTCCCACCAACTTGTCAACACATTAGTCATCTTCCATGTAAATCTTCATCTCTCAACTAAGAGACTAGTGCCGCCCAGTTTCAACACTATAGATTCACTCAAGCAGTGGGGGGACGGAGATGGCTCAATGGCCAAAGCACCTGCCTGCTGCAGCTGAGCCCTGCTGTGTGTGCCACTCCGGGTCAGCACAACACCCACGGAGGGAGGGGGAAGGGGGACACTAACTCACCCCTCTTTCTCTCCTTTCTGCACACTTCCCAAGTTACCATGCACAGCCAACAAGGAGTTAGGAGTTTCCGGGCAGGGTCGGGAGATACAAATTCTTTGGAGGTCTTCTTTGGCTCTTTCGTGTTAAATGCATCAATATTCATATCATCTATTTATACAACAATGTGCACTCACAATGTGCATTTCTTTGACACTCCAAATTCTACTTGGGGTACAGCTCAAGACTCTACAAATCTCCTAAAGCTTTGTCCCAGCCGTGAAAACTCCTCTCTAACCTCACACGCCCCACTCCCCGAAAGCAGCGAGCACCAGCAAGGACACTGCCCCGCTGCCCGCGCCCCGCGGAGCGTCGGCCCCGCCCTCCGCAGGCCCTTCCATCCCTCCCCCGAAACCGCTTCCGCTCTCCCCGCGGCCCCGCCCACCACCGGGCGGAAGTAGGCGGGGCCGCGGGGCGGAAGCGCCGGGTCTGCACCGGCCACTCGGGCTCCGGCCTCTGGCTCTGCCGGCCCCGCCCACCCCACCAAGCCCCGCCCCTCCGGCCCAAGCCGGAAGTGAGGTCAGAGAGGGAAACCCCGGCGGGGAGACTCGGCCCCGAGACGGCGGCGGTGGCGGTGGCGGCGGCGGGAGGCGGCTGCTGCTGCAGCTGGTGAGAGGGGGGCGAGGGGGCGCTCGGGGTCGGGGTCCCCGGCGCCAGTCGGCCGGGAGCGGGGCTGCGGGCGGCGGCGCGGCGGCCGGGCGCGCCTTGGGGCGGCGGCGGGGCGCGGGCTGCGGGGCCTGGCCTTTGCGGGCCCGGGGAGGCCGGCGTGGGGTCCCCTCCGCGCTCCTCTGGCTGGGGGTGGTCGCGGCCTGTGTTCCCCGAGGGGGCAGTCCGGTCCTCAGGGCGGGCCCCTCCAGCGGTGTCCACCCCGGACGGGTGCCCCCACCCCCTCCACCCGGGCCGTCTCCCGCCGCGCCCCCTCCCTGCGACCCCGCCCTCCTTGGACCCCAAGCGCTGGCCTGGGCTCGGGGCTTGGTCACGGGGTGCCCCCGGGACCCCCCGTGTCTCTCCCCGGATGGCGGGTGTGGAGGCCCGAGGGGTGTGTGCACCGCGCCCCGGGGCCGGCTGGCGCGTCCCCCCGCGGCTTGGGCAGCGTGTTTGCAGACGCCCGGCGTTAGGTGTCAGGGGAACCGCGTGCAACGTGGCCCGGACCCCTGGTGTCAGGGTCCAGAGACCTCCCGTGGCCTCCAATGAGGGGGATTTGTTTTTTTATTTTTATTTATTTTTTTCTGCTTTTTGGGTCACACCTAGTGATGCTCAGAGGTAAACACTCCTAGCTCTGCTTTCAGCAATGACTCCTGGCGGGGCTCGGGGGACCCTATGGGGTGCCGGAATCGAACCCGAATCTGCTGCAAGTATACCTACTGCTCCCGTTCCCCCTAAAATGTGATTTTTTATGTCGTGCGGCTTCTCACGCCCTGAAGAGTTGGATGGGGTTGACCGTGGTGCCCGAGTGAGGTGGCCCCACATGGGCCTCCGAATGGGTGGCAGTCTCCTTGCCTGTGATTTTCTTGGCAGGAGGACAGACAGCAGGGGATGTCCGTGTGGATTGAGCAAGCCCTGGGCCGGATGATGGGGATGGCACGCTCCAAAGTTGGGCCCCACAGTGGCGCCACACCATTTCTAAGCCCTAATTATGGCCTTGACACATACGCCAGAACCAGGTGTAACTTGGTGGGGGGGGGAGCAAGTGCTAATTTAATATGCACTTAATGAGGTGGTGTGCAGATTCTACTAGACAGTTCCTTACGCGGGTCCTTTGGAAGGGTTGTGCCCGGAGAGGCCCCCGGAAGTAAGGGGGACTTGAGGGGAGTGAATGGGAAATTGGAAATTTTGGGAGCACACTCAGCCAGGTATCCTCAATCCCTTTCATTTCAGTTTTAGTTATAGTGTGTGTGTGTGTGTGTGTGTGTGTGTGTGTGTGTGTCAGAGACAGATAGAGACAGAGAACACTTAACTAGGATGACCACTTAATCTTTTGAAGCATGAGGAGAAGAGCCTACATTTTGCTAATTATTAAAAAAAAAAAAGACAAAACATATATATGCACTTTAGGGCTCTTTATTCTCCAGCTGGTGGTTGGCTTTGAACTTTCTCCTCTCTCTTTCTAGACTCCCAGGCCCTGCACTTGTTTCTTGGTTCACCGTGCAGGCAAATTCCCGGTCCACCGCACAGGTGGCATGACAGTGGGTTGTCTTCTGTTCCTTGCCACAAGAATTCTTAACCTGTGACCCCAGATCACAGAACAGTCCTTTGCCCTTTTTTTTTTGAAGCTGTGTGTGTTTCCTTTGGAACCATCAGGTCATGTACTGGCAATTTTCTTTGGGGAGAAGAGGAAATGGAAATAATCTATACCTCAGGCCTCCTCTTTTTGTTTGTTTTATTGCTAGTATCCCAGTTGTCTGGTGAGCATTTGTGTTTTTGTGTCTTAAGAACTTGCTGACTTCTGGGGCTGGAGAGATAGCACAGTGGGTAGGGCATTTGCCTTGCACGCGGCCGACCTGGGTTCGATTCCCAGCATCCCATATGGTCCCCTGAGTACTGCCAGGAGTAACTCCTGAGTGCAGAGCCAGGAGTAACCCCTGAACATCGCCAGGTGTGACCCCAAAAAGCAAAAAAAAAAAACAAAAAAACTTGCTGACTTCAGGCACTTAACACGGCCAAACACCTGTTTTTTTGCTTTGTTTTGTTTTCTTTTTTGGGCCGCGTCCGGCCATGCTCAGGGCTTACTCCTGGCTCTGCACTCAGGAATGACTCCTGGTGGTGCTTGGGGGACCATTTGGGATGCTGGGATTGAACCTGGGTCTGCCACATGCCAGGCAGCACCCTACCTGCTATACTATCGTTCCATCCTTAAACATTTATTTTTAATGGCTTTAAGGGGACCGTGGAAGGAACAGAGCTTAGGTGTAGCCAGACAGGAGGTGCTGCCTTTTCTGTAGACTGTGGTGCCAGATCTTTCTCGGAACATTATTTGACGGCGGCGGTCCTATTGACATTTACTTTTCCTTCTTGTGACTTTCCCTTTTGGCAGATGTGGCCTCATGGATGAGCTGGTACATGACTTAGCCTCAGCGTTGGAGCAGACGTCCGAGCAGAATAAGCTTGGCGAGCTGTGGGAAGAGATGGCCCTGAGCCCGCGGCAGCAGAGGCGGCAGCTTCGCAAGCGGAGAGGCCGCAAGCGCCGGTCGGACCTCACCCACCTGGCCGAGCACACCTGCTGGTACAGCGAGGCCTCGGAGTCCAGTCTGGATGAAGCCATCAGAGACTGCCGGGAGGTGGCCCCCCTCACCAATTTTAGCGACTCGGATGACACCATGGTGGCCAAAAGGCACCCCGCTCTCAACGCCATTGTCAGGAGTAAGCAGCATTCTTGGCACGAGTCTGACTCCTTTACTGAAAATGCCCCGTGTCGGCCGCTGCGCCGGCGCCGGAAGGTGAAGCGAGTGACCTCCGAGGTGGCCGCCAGCCTCCAGCAGAAGCTCAAAGTGTCCGACTGGAGCTACGAGAGAGGCTGCAGGTTCAAGTCCGCAAAGAAGCAGCGCCTGTCGCGCTGGAAGGAGAACACTCCCTGGGCCTCGTCAGGCCATGGCTTGTGCGAGTCAGCAGAAAACAGGACTTTCCTAAGCAAAACGGGAAGGAAGGAAAGGATGGAGTGTGAAGCCGACGAACAGAAGCAGGGCTCCGATGAGAACATGTCCGAATGGTGAGATCTCCCTTACGGAAGCGAAGAGTTGTGTTTTCTGTTGTTGTTGTTTTTTGGTGGCTGTACCCAAAGTACAAATGCAGGCTCGATGAGGGCGGCTTTCTGACTCAGGCCTTGGAGATCTCCTTTATCCAAATCTTGGTGATCTTGACCCTTTTCAGTACTTCCTGCTTCCCTTTCCCTACGTCAGCAAGACTGTGTAATAGAAAGCCATTTGTTTTTAAACATGGCTTTAAAATCTCAAGTGCGTAGCCAAGATTGTTAGGTAAAAAACCAAGTCGTGCTATTTAGGCCTTGTAGTTTATATACATGGGTACTGTTCTTTAGAACCAGCATCTCACTTAGTCTAAGGATGTGTGTGTGTTGGTGCCACGCATGTATGGAGTTTGTAAATGTTTATGGTAAGTTGCTTTTCTTGGTGTGCCTAGGTGTGTGTGTGTGTGTGTGTGTGTGTGTATGTATGTATGTGTAAATGTTCCTGGTAAGTTGCCTTTGCCCATTCAGAATCATAACTTTAAATCCTTCTGGGTTGTAACTCTGTTCTCTGCTGCTTAGACTGTGACTGTATTGAGTTTATTTATTTATTTTTATGACTGACATTCTCACACGGTAAGTTTCAGAATAAACAGCAGTGAAACCCATAAAGCCAAAATGTGGTCAAGTGAGAAAAATTGGTCTCTAATCGGTGCATTTCAGAATGTCAGTAGTTTTTGTTTGTTTATTTGTAAGCATAGACACTGCATAGTCCTAGGAGCATTTTTAATTCCCAGCTTGATACTTCGAACATTAATTCTGTGATACCTGTTTCTCACTGAGGATGCGATTGGCATTCTGGATGGTGCAGTTCTTTGTGGTGAGGGACTGTCCACCGCCTGGTAGGATCTTCAGCATCTACTCTGTTCCCCTCCCAATTTCTTGATGACAAATCAGACTCCTTTATGGGTGCCCACTCCGAGTTGAAAACATTGTGTTCTACCGCTGTTACTGTTTGCGTCTATTAAGCACTAATAGGGTGTGATCTTGATGCCACTGTTGGCAGGTACCACTCTTTGGTATTTTACAGGAGAGGAAGCAGGGTTGAGCACTTTTAAATCATCAGCCCAAGGTCACTCGGTGGCAAAACCTGGATTCAGACCTCACTCCAGTGCTCTGTCCCTTCCTACTTTACTACCCTGAGAATTCACCTTTCCTGTGCCTTTCCTGTCTCATAACTTCTCTGATGTAGAACAGATGACCTTTCTTAGGACTCTGTTTTTTCTGAAGTTTGTCTGAAAAACAGAGGCATAAATCTTAGAAACTGAGATGAGATGTTAGGCACTGGAAAAGCTGTTTAGGTCTGGATGCTTAAACCTTTAGGGATGGTTTTTATTCCAGTTTTTACATTTTTCTGCACTAACTTTACATTTGCCAGTTTGTACAACTAGATAGACTCATAATTCCTCATTTTCTTATGTATATTCTAAGGCCTTCTTACCGAATTTATATATGTATTATTTGGAATTACATTTTTCCCCCCTCATCACACTTACTAAACCAACCTAACATTATTTTATAGCCACTCACAATATTTAATAGTGACCTTATATACCAAATAATACTTTTCTTTTGGTTTGATTTTCTTTGGCACTGCCCAGGATTTCATCCTGACTATTTGTTCAGGGATCATTGCTGGTGGGGCTCAGAGGTGCTTGGTGGGGTGGGAGGGGAGAAGGCAGGGACCATATGTGGTTGTCAGAGATCGAACATGGGCCAGCTGTGTGCAAGACAAGTGCCTTACCCATTGTTCTCTCTCTCTCTCTGGCCCTCAGAGTATCTCTTTTCTTTTTTCTTTCTTTCTTTTTTTTTTTTTTTGAGGGAGCAGGGTACACCTGGCAGTTCTTAGGGCTTACTCTTGACTCTGAGCTCAGGGATCATTCCTGGTAGGGCTTTGGGAGCCATATAGGGTGTTGGGGATCAAACCTAGGTCATTCGCATGCAAGGTAACCACCTTATACTCCTTCCTCCTACTCCCCCTCCCCTTTTTTTTGTTTTTGGGTCACACCCAGCAATGCTCAGGGGTTACTCCTGCCTGTGCACTCAGAAATCAATCCTGGCAGGCTCGGAGCCCATAGAGGATCACCAAATAGAATGCTGGGAATTGAACCCATGTCGGCCATGTGCAAGGCAGGTGCCCTATCCGCTGTACCATCTCTCCCACCTCAGCCTTTTCTTCCATGAGTGAATTGGTTTGGCGGTGGTCTGAAGTTGCTGTCAGGAGCCTTCCAAAGGTGATGTATGAGAGACCAGTCTCCCAGGAAAGGAAATATTCCCTTCTCCTGAAAGGCAGGTGACAGAGATAGAGTACTAAACCGTCCCCCTCCACCAACCCAGGCTGACCTTTTCTGACCTCGTGGTGCCTCTTATTTTCTTATTTTCATAGAAAATCAATATCCCTTCTGACACAGACAATAGCTCAGAAGCAAGAATAAATGGGAGAGCGCCAAGATTTCTGTCCATCACCTCTCACTGTAACTCCCCAAACTCTTTAATTAAGAGCATGCTTTGCTCCAGGTGTTTGTGACAGTGAAATTGCTAAATGAGGACCATTTTAACCAAAGATTGGGTGATCAATAACACTCTCTAGCAGCAGCTTGTTGGATCAATAGCGTTCATTATTTCATGGTTAAGGTAAGTAGCCTCCTTTGCAAGTGGAGGTCATTAATCAGGGGTTACTGGAGCTGTGGAGAAAGAGTCAGGTGTGGTAGATGGAGAATGTTCTGTTGTCTGCCCTGTAAATAGGAAGGCTGACCCAGAGTATTTTTGCCATTGTTGCCAGTGGTGGCATTGCGCTGGTGAGTATTGATGCTACGGTGGTGTATTAATTCACATCGTTTAAGCTCAACAAGCCTATTCTTAGGAGCAGCTGAAAGGAAACCTTGGGAAGTAGATTTGAATAAGCTTGGTAAGTGCTTCTGGAAAGAAATGTTAATAAACTTACATGCGTGGCGACAGGAAGGAACTTAACTCATAGAAAGTAGACTCACGTAATACCTCATTATAAAATATAACGGTCTAAAAATTAGAGCTATTTCAAAATTGTCTCTAGACCACTGGACGAATCCAAGCACGTGGGCTTGGTGATCACTTACTGAGTTATTCTAGAGTTAGGAGGTTGAACTGAGTGACCCCAGAGCTCCTTGCAATCTTAGTTCATCTTAGGCACCACTCTCATTTTGTTCTAACATTTTGTTTTAAAAGGCATCTGGTAAGTTATAAGACATTACGAACTCTCGACTCCAGAAACCAGGAGTTAGTGACCTGTCACCAGGGTTTCTGGAGGCTGGAGGCACTGGGAAGGTAGCGCGCAAGGCCTTCGGTCTCCTGCCCTGCCTTGCCCTGGACAATCTGATTTGCTTCTTTCTCAGCAGTCGGCGCCTGCTTTGATCAGCAAGTTGGGCAGCTGCAGTTTGGTCACCCCTTGCTTTCCCGTCAGTGTCTTTCATTTTCAGTTTGAAAGCTATAACTTTCAGAGTACACTCAAGTAGAAAAGTGTGTGTGTGTGTGTGTGCGCATGCATGCGTGTGTGTGTGCGTGCGTGTGTGTGTGTGTTTGGGAGCAGTAGGCAGTCACAGGGTATTGGGTCTTAGAAATTGCAGCCTCCAGAAGTAAAGTTTACCAAGGGCAGGACCGGAGAAAGAGCTCTTACTAGTGTATCCTGTGAAGTGGAGTATTTTATGTACCTTTTGTTGCACACTTCTGGATCAGGGTCAGAACCAGTCAGAGTGAGAAGAAAATTCTCTTTTTATTCATACCTACCTTAAAAAAATAAGCCAGTGCGACTTCTGGCCATTCATGAGTCTAAGAGCACATTACCCGCATCCAAAGGAATAAAAGAATGGAAACACGGGTAATTTACATACCATTTCTGTGAGAAATAACAAGTTCCAGGTAAACTGTTTCTTAGCCTGAGGCCTCAAACAGGTCTAAGCCTGAGGGAAAGTGAACGAGCTCATAAAAGCTCACAAGGACATGTTTTTGAAAATGCTGGTCACAGGAACCTGAAGAACCTTGTAGAAAATCTCCACTGGGGTGTAAGAACATCCACTGGGATAAAAATAATCATTTTGAAACAGAGCAAGTGCCAGGACTGAAAGATGACCGTGTGAACACCGGGCAGTAAGGGAAACACTTCAGGGGGAAATGTGAACTGTAACTGCAGAGGTTTTTACTTTTTTTGGTTTGTTTTGGGGCCATACCCAGTGATTCTCATGGCTCACTCCTTACTGTGCTCAGGGTTCTCTCCTAACGGGGCTCAGGTGTCTGGTGCTTGGGGCAAGGACCTTACCTCCTGTACGGTCTTTCTGACACCTGTAATTGCAGGGTTAAGTCCAAAGGGTTCTACAGAATATCCGAGTTAATGCTGTGGAATCATCAGAAGGCATTGGGAAGGCATTCCAGAATGCAGAGGGAGGAGTTAGAAGAGAAGATAATATATGTGGGAGACAGAACTGAGACCCAGGATGAAGGATGGGAGGGAAGAAACAGAAGCGTTGGATAAGGATGACTTTAAAAACTGTGCCTGAGGTAGAACAGATGCCTGGTGTTTTGTGAGGTCTGAGTTTCATCTCTGGCACCAGCTGGCCTCCTGGCACCGTCAGGTGTAGCCCTTTTGGCCCCCCACCATTGCCTGGCCTGAGCATTGTGGGGAGGTTCCTCACCATTGCTAGGTGTGGTCCCATGTCACTAAAGAAGAAAAAAGTTGCAGAGTTTTAAAACAATGATAAACTCTTAACATTTAAGGAGTGAAAGTATAAACATGAAGAGCCATCTCCACCTAAACTGATTCTGGCCATTGTTTTTGCATCCTGCTACTGTGGTGGGTAAAACAGTTATAAAGAGAAATCTTGAAGGGTAGGAAGATGAGGTCTTTTTTTTTTTTTCTTCCTCTTTTGGGTCACACCCAGCGATGCACAGAGGTTACTCCTGGCTCATGCACTCAGGAATTACTCCTGATGGTGCTC